GGAACAGTAGGTCATAAATATGGTTCTGTTGCTAATTTCATGGCCACGCTAAAGCTGATAAAACTGTAAAGCACTAATCAATATTGTTACAGTAACAAGGGATATAATGTCTGCGTGTAATGTGAAAGATGTCGCTCTTTGAGACGAATCCACTATAACAGTTACCCCCTTTTAGCCTCTTTTAGCTCATTGTCACACGGACTGTGACAACAGTCACAACAAACACCCGCTTTACTTCACGCTGACTGGAGAGGGCCTTGGCGTACTTGCTGATGCTGAAGCTTTGTCTTCAACCTAACCAAGTTATTTTTTGGGCTTAAACCTAACTCAAACTTTAACCAGAGTGTTTAACCAGAAAAATGTTTTGTTTTTGAAGCGGCAACGACGTCCTGTCGATTGTGGCGTCATATCAGAGGATGCTTATATGTGCAGATCTGGAGGACTTACTGTAAAGCAATGATGCACTTTGTTGTTTAATTTGGACGACTTTTGTGAAATTGTGTAGTGTGTGTGTGTAGTGTGTGTGTGTAGTGTGTGTGTTCATCCAGGTAAAAAAAGATCCATTTATTTTCTTAGTTCTCTCCATATATCTGAGAGATTGGTTTTAGAGCACAGCTGTGATTGCAGCCCATTGACTTTGGCTTCTGTGCTTCAGACTAACGTGAACGTTGGTTTTCTCTTTCAAACATCTGTGTTGTCCCCAAAGATTGAGGGACGTCATTGTGCCAACAAGTGCATGAAAACACACTCAGCCCGACCCCCGGAGGGTGTAAAGACCAAGGTCGCTGGGCCTCTGCCGCCTTGAGGCCGGGGACGTTTTGTATGTCACCGCAGTCCTTCTCTTCGGCACTGTGCTTGTTATATCATGCAAACACTATTTTTACAAGATAGAAACCAAGGCTTTCGCTCACTCAGCGATGACTCACACAGTGGGCTCTTTACGTTGCCTTGGGCTGCCATTGTGTTTGCGTAACTCTCGCTCTTTAAACGTGATCTCTGAGAGTATGCAGTATACTCGTTCTAGTGCCAGCGTGTCACCCTCTCGTCTTTGTTGATTATCAATACATTTCCTCTGCATAGATTCAGTACATGTTTTTCTTTGTGCATGCATGCCTTTTATGTGTGTGTGTGTGTGTGTGTGTGTGTGTGTGTGTGTGGCGGCCTGCTGCGTGACTCCTGCCCCCTCCATGACAGAGCCCCCCACCCTTCAGATGAAACTCCGCCCCACGGCGTGTCCTGACCTTTGGCTGTGTCGGAGGAGCTGCTCATTGCTCACTCACATCTGACTGGCTATGTATGAGAAATAAAACAATAATGGGTGACAGTCACACAGTCCTATTTGATTTCATTGGGAGTGACATAAGGTTTCGCAACATTGACATGACTACAAACTGAAACTTATGTCGTAGGAATAATCTGCATGCAGGAAAATAGAGTAGGGCCCAAACACACATGGGAAGCAGGAGGATGAATAAAGGTGATTTTGATAAAGAAAACGTCGAAACAAAACTTGCACAGGAGGTGATGTTGGTGAGTTCAAAAGCAATCAATAAAACCACCTGTGAAATGATTCATTTTAAACCGATCTTCTGTGTGATTATCACGAGATGATTGGCTGCCGTTCTCTTTGTTAGAGTAATCAAAGGTAAGACAACATTTCCTCTAAAACCCTGACGTTTTTCTGCATTATACTGAAACATGTCAGAAATCATTTTTGAACGCTTCGCAAATGCTGCGTGATTTAGTAATGATTTAATAACAATTTCTCTTTGCAAAGCGAGATGCAGAGGCGTGCACTGATGGCTCAGAATGAACGTTTTGAAGATAGAATTTCTTCCCTGTTTATGTAACATTTGGGTGTCCTCTACCAGCGGATTTCTTCCCAGTTGTCATGCATATAATTGTGCACGACGGAGCCAGTATGATAATAACCTAGTTATTGACCCCCAGTGAGAGGGGGTCTCTGTGGTTCTCTGGCTGGCAGGAAGGAAGGTGGGCGGTATAAGAGGGACTGCAGTCTGACTCAGTCTCTGCCTGGTCTGTTGGAGAGTCGACGGACGCTCGCTCGCGGTCGTCACCCAGCGAGTCCATGTGACAGTCAAACAAGCAGCCAGTCATGTGGGGGAGGAAAAACGTCCTCCATGTGATGTTGGGGAAACTCTAAACAGTTTTCATCGTGTTGTGTTACGCAAGAGCAAACCAGACTGTCTGTCGTCTACATCATCATCACTGTCGTTGTATGACGTGTTATAGCAGTGAACACTTTAGTGGTATCTGAGATAGTAGAGGAGAGTCAAAGCCTGGAAGTGTATGTGTGTTTGTCTTTGTTTTTCATACAGGTTCATTTTGGGACGACTCTTTAACCGGTTTGATAGAACTTAAACCAGACTGTTATCAGAAACGTATAATTTTTGCCTCAAACTGTGCTGAATGGGTCTGATGAAATGTAATCTCAGATAAAGTTCTGATTAGCTGTGTGGACTTTTTACTCCTCATCTTTGCACTTCAGCATCTTTTTGGATAGTTCCTGATTTAAAGGGGAACTCCACCAATTTCACGCATGATAATCAGTTTACTAGTCATGGGTAGTGTTACTCATCGTGTGTCTTTTGAGGCCGTTGTTTGTGGAGTTGTGATGAATTATGCTGAGAGGCAGTGATCTTTCTGATGGTCTCGTCTCAGGATCAACCGCGTTTTGTCTTCGTCTCAGACAAAGAGGACTCAGAGTTTTAAGACCACAACATGCTGGCATAAAATTCACCTCTGTAATGCTTTTTGATTATGTTATCAAAACATTTCTCATGGTACGCTCTTAAAAACACACATATACAGTATATAAGGCAATGAAATTTGTTTTTATGTGAATGTGGATCTTTCAGATCAGTTTGAGGAGTGTCTATGTGTTTGCATGTTCCACATTTTATCAAAAGTGTGTCATGCAGTCAGGGACTCGCACTGGTCTGGTCCTGGTTTAGTCTCAACCGTTCAATCTCTTGGTCTTGTCTCTGTCTCGTTATACTCTGGTCTTTGTCGTGACATTGCCGAGAGGTTTTTCGTATTTGGTATAAGTCACATCATTTCAATCACATCATGTTGGCGTGTATCGCTCTCATTTGCTGTTGAGGTGGCACTAAATGGACCCTGATCTAATTCCATAAGTTTAAGTGAAAGTTATGAAGTGTGCAATATGAAATAATACAAGACGCCAGCTTGAATTGCTGGCTAATCATGTGTGCACTCGCACCAGTTGATCCCTGGCCCTCCCAGCTGCACTCGACCCTTCTCGCTCCATTTACAATGAACAGGAGAGCAGATTGAGCGCGACAGGCGTGCAGGACCTCACACCGCAAGCAAAATCGATTGGTGGGGGACATATATATACGTAGGTTTTCCTATTACTGGGAGCTGGGACTTGCTGTCAAAACGGAAGGAGAAAGAGGAAGAGAGGCGATTAATATGCCCATCTGCTCTCTGCTGACTCACATTCCTCAGTGTAACACTGTCGATACCGCGTGGTTGTCTGCTTCATCCGTGTGTCAGATTTATTTAATCAGACAGGAATCTACACTTGCATCTAACAGTTTGTGTAAATCAAAGCTCTGTAAACCTGCTTCTACTTCTCTGTGGGAGACAAAGCAATGCCCTCCTTTTTTTTTTATTGTCTCGCAGCAGCGGAGCGACCTGCCCCCGTTTCTGAGGTGCTACACCGGAGCGTGTTCAAATATTTAGTTTAGTGCACCAGGCCAGTTACTTTTGCAATGGATTAATAATCTGTTTGTCTGCTCACTCGTCCGTCACACACACACACACACACACACACACACACACACACACACACACACACAGATGATGATGCTGTGGCAGTTACAACTGATGCGATTTGGCATTACTGGGGCACCATTCCTGCTGAATGCCCTAAAATGTGGCCTCCCCTGTGCCTCCATCCCAACACTCTCCCACAGTCCACTCAGCAATCACTCCAGCGACACCCCCCCACCCCCCACCCCCGTCTCCCAGATCCACTGTCGAGCCTCGTGCTGACACGCTGAGCACATTCACTTAGGGTGTGTGGACTCTGGGAATTCTCCAATGAGTGTGAAGTCAAGATAGAAAGCTTTAATACCAAACTACTCTCACAGTCTGCAAGCATTGGAGCTGTTAATACGTGGCCCTCCATAGGGATGCTGCATAATGACAAAACTACACTTTTTAAGCACTTCAGTGTGAGAAATATTAAACATCTACAAAATAAATTTATATTTGCATTTAACAAAATAAGACAAACTTCTCAAATGCATCAATGTTTAATTCTTTCAAAACACAAGCAGCCGTACAACAACCTTTGCCTCAATAAAGTACGATGAAATTAGCAAAATGATTTCTCATATGGTACAGACTTTGAAAAAACTCAAAACTCATGAAGCAGAGACCAAAATATTGTGCCTTCTAGTCCCTACGATAGTTCAAGCTCCATTTATGCTCCATCCTCCAAAAGTACAGCATGTCCACATACTTTTGGCCATACAGTGTTTATGTCACAATATAGGAACTTCAATGGAAGGAAACTATTGAAAGAACCAGATAAGAACAATTGTTTTTGGTTGCAGTAACACGTGTCACATTTGTTTTTTGGAGGTCTGTTGGGCAGCGCCAGTTTCAACGGCTCTACACGGAACTACAGCACCCTCCTGCTGGAGGAGGGGAGCGGGCTGCTGTACGTGGGAGGCAGAGGAGCCATGCACGCACTCAACACCTCCAACATCTCCACGCCAGCAAACCTCACGGTGAGCGCCACCGATTACCGCCACACTGCAAACGCCGTTTCACAAGTTTCCCTCCCATTTCCTCCATGGAGGACAAACTAATATTAGCCTTAAGCAGATTGAGCAAATCCCATTGTGTCCCTTCCAATTTTATGGATATGGGATTAAAAGCAGCAGGCGTTTATTCAAGGGTTACTGAGCAGAGTCAGACTTTAGTGGCGCAGCTAGAAATAAATACAGTGAGCTGTCCTTCTCTCTTCTCTCGTCCTGTTTATCTCACACTCTTGTTTTCTTCTCTTCATCTGCCCCATCTCATGTCCATAGATCTTATATATCTATGGTTCCCTTTCTATTTACAGCGCTAACTGAGTCATTAACACCCCCTCCCTGTTGTTTGCAGATTGATTGGGATGCTTCCCCTGAACAGAAGAAGCAGTGTTTAAACAAAGGCAGAGACAATCAGGTACTGCAAATTCAACTTGCATTTTTATTATTATTATTATTATTATTCAGCATTGTGTTCTTTTGCTCAAACTCTTTATTTACTGAGTTATTGTTGGAGATCATAAATTAAACACTTCTGCTTTGTGATGTGCATTTTGCTTCTGACAGCAAAATATACAAAATAAAATAAAGAAATCACACTATTTGCATAAAAAAGCTCCAGTACATGAAGTGGATCTATACAATGTTCTCTCGTGGAGCCAGAAATAACCTGTTTTTCTCTGTTCCCCCGCAGACAGAGTGCTACAATCACATCCGCTTTCTGCAGCGATTCAATGAGACTCACCTGTACGTCTGTGGAACAAACGCCTTCAGACCTCTTTGTGCTTACATAGTAAGAGCTCATGTGATTTCATTTCAGGGCAATTATGAGTAGAACAGAATTTAAATGATGACTTGTCTTTTTTTTTTATCTGTCTGTAAGGACGCAGAGCGGTTCAGCTTCTCCTCCGGCTTTGAGGAGGGCAGAGACAGGTGTCCCTATGACCCAGCGAAGGGATTCACTGGCCTCCTCGTGGGTGCGTCTCCCAGATTTGCATTTATATTTCTGTACTTTATTTTTCTTAAAGAAGCATTCAAACAAAACAAAACATAGTTGGTCACCTTTGCATTCATACATATTGATGGAAACTCATACCAGTTCATATAACGGATCAGTTATCATCTCATGAGGACACAAACACAATCCATTGCCTCGTGGTCATTCACAGGAACAGAGGTTGTTACCATTTAGACATATTATAACCACATTAGGTGATAGGTCAGTTTGCCTACTCACTCTGCAGTATGCCAACTGCTTTTCATTTACATCTGATTCAACTGTTGTGTCCACGTTTCTTTCCTGTCTTCATCTATCTGTTAATCAGACGGGGAGATGTTCACGGCCTCTCAGTATGAGTTTCGCAGCTCTCCAGACGTGCGCAGAAACTTCCCCTTCCCCACGCTCAGGACAGAGGAGGCCCCCACCCGGTGGCTTCTGGGTAAATGCAACACATGGCAGCAGTCAAAGAAGAGAGCTAATCATCAAATGCATCGAGTAATGAATAAATGGTTCCTTCACTTCACTTACGGTGAACTACTAAATGGACCAAACCTCATTGCCATTTTTGTACATTTTTAGCTCATTGGAGGTTTTGCTGTTACTACAAAAACTGATTGACTTGGAGATTAAAAAATCACATCAAAAAAAGAATTTCACTGCACTGCAGCTCTAACTGGCTTAGTTGTGGCAATTCAATCATACTTAAAAGCTCCATCTTTGGTTTCCAAGGAGACACTTCCAAGGCTGCTAATAGGTCTGTGTTTGGACATGTGGATCTGCATGTATGCGTCTTATTTGTGTGTGTGTGTGTGTGTGTGTGTGTACATATAGAGGCAGATTTTGTGGGCTCCGTGCTGCTGAAGGAGAGCGTCAACAGCTCCATCGGCGACGACGATAAGATTTACTTCTTCTTCACGGAGAGAAGCCAGGAGCAGATTGCCTACCCGAGCCAGACCAAGGTGTCCAGGGTGGCCCGAGTCTGCAAGGTCAGAGAGAGCAACTCACCCAAATACTGTTAACCATAATCGTATTAATGCTTTCTCTGGGTTTCCAAAGCCATTTACAAATCGGACAAGACTCACACGCCTGCAAGGTCATGGAGAGAAAGGGTTGAAATGAAGGAGGAGAAAAAGTTATTCAAAGCGCAATAAATAGTGGGATTATTTAATGCTTTACGTCACTGACGCAGAGTGAAGTAAATGGATTTAAGGAGGCTTTCTGCCCTTGATTCTTCTCCCTCAGCTGCCGTTCTGCTCTTAAGGTTATTTCAGTGCTCAACGAGCAACCAATGTTTGGGTGTCTCTAATCTAGGCTTCTTCCCTGACGGCGGTTCTTTCTGTGCCACTGTTGCCAGGCAAACTACAAGTCCACCAACCACCACCTCCAATGGCAAACCATCTCCGTCTCTTTATTGCCATCTCGCCCTCTCCCACTCACCCCCCCCCCCCCCACCTCATTTCACTTGCGATCAGCATCTCCGGTCTAGACAGCATGCCCAGCAACTCTCTTTCTTCCTCCCCATCGTTTCTTTTAGCCGTGCGCGGTGGTGTAATTACCATCACAGTGTGCTGTTGTGCTGAAATCATGGTTGCAATTTTTCTGAGGGAATCAAAATAAAAAAGTGTCCAAAAAGACTCTGGTGAGCGGCTGAAAACGATGTTAAGAAACAAACCCCTGCAGTTGGGCATCACCTTGTTTTGCGAGAATGCGGATCGACTTATCAGAGAAACAGAGAAATGAATGTGAAAGCTGCATATTGAGTAACCACTTCAAACATCCAGCAAATTAATCATAACAAAGATTTATTACTTCATTTCTTGATTTTTTTTTAGCTCTTTCTGGAGCTTTTTTCACCACACTGTATAGCCCCTTTTGAAATGAAATAATAGTAATTGATGCCCAATATTTGGCATCTGGAGCACGAGAGGAAGTGGTGTTGAAAAGAAATATCTAGGAACAAGATCTCGTCTCTCATAGGCTGCTAAATGGATAGATCTTTTTACTTTTTTGGGTGTTGAATCCTTAAAGACTATTGTTAGATATACACAGATATGTAGACGAGTAGATGTGTTTGCAAGCTCACTAACAGGCGGTAAAATTATTTCTGAACTTCCTGAACTTTTTTTTTTTTAGTCCCGTAGACTCAAAAAGTTCATCTCCTCAAGATTCTCTCTGCATCCAAAATTAAATCATTTCTGGATGTAAGGCCTGGACTCGTCGCCTCCGCTCTCTCTCTCCTCATCGGCGCCGTGGTGTTGTCAGAGCGGTCGAGGGTGTAATAACTCAGTCTGAACTAGGCCAAGGCAGCACATGCAGATGTCGAGCCGCTCCCCAGCTCAGCCCCCTTGGCAGATCTGCAGATAGCGAAGGCCCTGGCAGTCGCCTCGGGCCTGAAACCACTGAAGACTTGCCATTTTTGAGCTGCATAACCAGTTGTCCTCTTCTGTTTGTCACTTCCCAGCAAGACAGCAGCTACTTCTTCTGCCATCATGACCTATTTGTACAGAGAAGGGTGTAAATTACATGGAAAACAAGGTCTTTTCAGGAACATAAAGAGCGGAAATCAATACCATTCTGACATTATTTAATATCGGCCATTTACGCTGCTACGCTTGGACTCTTATTTTCTTGGATTTACGTCACGGCAGCCCGATGACCCGGACGGTGCTTTGATTGACATCGATTGTGATCTATCGGTGCATCCCTTTAGCTCTTTCCACAATAATAACCTGGTGTTCATCTCCATAAGAAAGTCAGTTGGATCCATCTCCGCCAACACCAACTCTCCAGAGGTTTTATTCAGTGAGGAGAAGCATTTGTCTGCAGTCCTTTCCCTCTCACTTACTGCCAAATAAGTTATTGATGGAAGTCCTTAATGCGGGCATTTTTGTTTTCCATATGCATTTTTTTTTTTTTTGTGTGTGTGGGAGACCGAGGCGCCCAAATTCCCACGAACAAAGAGAAAAGTAGTCAGTTCTTTTTTCCTCTCTACTAAATGAGGTGTGCTAAATTACTCTTTTAGGGAGAGATTTCTTGCAGCCTTGCCTCCCAGTGCTACCGAAATGCAATTAGAGCAAATGTGCTAAAGTAGGCACTAACATTCAGCTCCTGTTTCATAGGACTCTGCTCACTTCCTCCTCCATCTCTTTATGTGTGTATAGTGATGTGTGCATTATCATTTCCTGTCTGTTTGTAGATGATTACTGTTTCACTGTTATTACAGTCACAGATTAGTGGCCGTTGATGTGTGTGTATGAGTATGAGTGTATTTGTGTCATTTGAAAGTGTATATGCCAGAATACATGAGCTCAAGTGACTTTATTTAATCCTCCATTCATTCGTCCGCCGTCTCCTCTGTGTGCAGAATGACTGGGGAGGCCAGAGGACCCTGCAGAGGAAGTGGACCTCCTTCCTCAAGGCCAGAATGGTGTGTTCAGTCCCAGAATACGAGCTGCACCTCAATATCCTGCGCAGTGTGTTCGTCCTGCAGGGCCGAGACGCTCAAAGCAGCATTTTCTATGGCGTCTTTGGCCTGGAATGGTAAGAAACAACATGAAATTCTGCTTTTATTATGGACTTTTTTCCCCATTTAAGTAGCTTTAAGGTTGGAAATATCATATTATTCTATGCTGTTGGACAGAATCTTTTATATATTCTGTATCAGCATCATTTTATACACATTTCTCCAAAATCCAGCCTGGCACATCTGGTATGTTGGGAAACTTTGGGATCTCCACTAGAGTTTTAAAGTATTGTCAAAGACCATTATAAGTGAATGTGATTCTTTTTCCTTAAACTTCTCCTGTATCTCACAATAATGAGAGTGACATGATGAACTGCATCAACTTGTTTTGTGTGCAGCATGTGAGTACAGAATATCTCCATAATCAAACACAGACATGATGACTGTTTGCAAAGTGCTTTTCTTTCACGCAAGTGAGCGAAAAGGCTTCAGTCTGCACACATTTCTATTGATTTTTTGTTTCTTAGCCAGTTGAAGTTTGAAAGTCAAAAATGAATGCTAAAATCTATACTTTACTTGAATGAAACAAGCCATTTGTAGCCATCACCTCATTTGAGTCTTAATAATATTCAGCACACTAACTGATAACTGAAGACAGAGAGTTGTTATCAAAACAGAAGCAGCCAGAGCTGACGTGAGAATGTCAGAGGACGACGGCTGCCGGTGGAATATCTGGCAGCGGTGTGAGCGTGTGTTTATGCTGATGTGCCGAGTCATGCTGCATGAAACTGTCCCGAGGGTGCTCCGTTTGTGATGGAGAGGATAGCATTGCAACGGGAAAGTAACTCTCTCTACTTCTCTCTCTGCTACACTTCCTTTTGTGGATATTCAATCTCAACCCCCGTCAGTCTGTCTCCTCATTCACTGCAGCAGCTGCCTTTCTTTCTTTCCTTCTCTCTTTCTTCTTTTCTTTTTTTTTAAACACACACACACCTGTGTGAGTAGTAGTGGTGACTATGCGTTAGACTCAAGCGTGCAGCGGTGACTAAGCCCCTGAGCTAAATTGCTCACCAGTTTTGAAGACAGATTCAGGTTTCACTTCGATCGCAAATTTCCTCACTTGAATGCTTTCGAAGGCACACAATGGATTTAAGAATGTGAACGCATACCCCCCCCCCCCCCCCCCCGTTACTAATCTCACCTGTAGGGTTTAAGATTAAGGGTCACCTGGCTGCCAGCTCATGCTGTCGGAGGACAAATCTTTTCTTTCAACAAAACCACAAACGGGGATGCGTCACTCGGGACTCACGGGGAGTGGGGATTTCAGGGCTGTGAGTGTGGTGTTGAAAAACCTGCAAAAAATAAATATTTTACAGCTACTGGAGATAAAGAGGGGACAATTACACACCTGTCAGTGACGCCACTCCCACACGTCCATCAAAGACAAATTGATAAGATCCAGGGGGGAAATATGAGCGTAAAAAACTCAACTTTCCTACACTAACACCCCCAGTTTTCACAGAATAAAGAAGAGAAACCCAGTTACCTCTTTGCCTTATGACCTGTGATAGTTTTACAATTCAATCTTGGTTGCAGTTGCACCTCAGATAATAACCTGTCTTTCAGGAAGAATATCAAAGCATCTGCTATCTGCCAGTACGCCTTCTCGGATGTGCAGAAGGTGTTTGAGGGGCCGTTCATGGAGGTGCAGGACTCAAAGTGGAGGGAGTACACGGGGAAAGTTCCAGAGCCAAGACCTGGATCTGTAAGCTTCACCTATTAAAACCAAACTCGTTCTACCATCATTATAGTCTTTCATGTCTTTTCCTCTCTGATCATTTCTCTGCCTCTGATCTCCTCCGCAGTGCATAACAGATGCGCACAGGTCCCAGGGCATCAACTCATCTCGAGACCTCCCAGACAACGTCCTCACTTTCGCCAGAAGGCACCCGCTGATGGCCAGCCAGGTGCACCCGATAGGTGTGCGCCCACTCATGTTCAAGAGGAGTGTCAACTATGTGAAGATAGTCGTGCACAAGGAGCCGGCGCTGGATGGGAACACTTATACTGTTTTGTTTTTGGGAACTGGTGAGTTTTACTGCTGTGAAGACCGAAAGCAACAGAATGGGCTAGAGGGCTGAGTGCCACTAGACATGGGACAGTATGAAAAATGTTTGTCACGATTGTTCTGGCCAAAATAATGGCGATTCACAATATTTCCCCGATAAGCACTATGCTTAAAGATTGGCAGCATTTTATTGCCTTGGCTAATCCGGTGGCTAGCAGCTAACGATGCTAACTAATATTTTGATTGCATCAAAGAAAGGACACACACATGTTTTTAGTGAAAAAAACAACAAACAATCCTTAATAAGATAATCATAAATCGTAAGGTTCCCCTGCATAAATCAATGAATAAAAATAGCAACACTGCGTGAGTCTGTTCTTTCTTACATGATAATTGCTGTCATTTCTCTAGCTATTTTTCCCTTCTTCACCTTTTTAGTGAGCTAGACAACTTTTGCAAGTTACTCTTTTTATTTAGATCCAAAATATGATCCTACATTGTCCCTCAGTGCCACAGAAGTCAGAGATCATTGAGAGACGGACTCACTCATTGTTGGTTTATGTTCTTTTAATGGGATTTGTTGACAGTGAGACAAACACAGAATACCCATATTTTACAGGAACTGGATTGTGTTCTCTGTATTGCCTCTGAAGTGTCTTGTTTGACAAGGTTGTATCTTTTCCCACAGACGACGGGTGGCTGCACAGAGCTGTCGACGTCGGTGGAGAAATGCACATCATAGAAGAGCTGCAGCTGTTTGATAAACCCCAGCCCATAGAGAGCATGGTCATATCCTCCGCTCTGGTACGTATTCGTGCATGTAGAGTTAAACGTTTACAACAGTGAGTGATGCAAATGAAAACCTTTGATAGATCCTGGCCAGGCTAATTACATAATTAAATACATATAATTGGAGTGCCATTAACAGAGGATGTTTATCCTTTTGCACAAGGGACTCTGGTGCTCGTAAAACGTACCGCTTTTGTCCACAGGGAGCGCCAAAATCAGTGCAAAATTAAAGTTTGTGGTAGTAGCTTTAAGTTTTGGGTGTGCAGCTATTCTGCGGCGACCAGGAAAAGGAAGTTCACTTCAGTAATCGATGATTAACCAACAAATACGCTTCTTACATCCCAGTGCATCACAATGCTTCGGCTTTTATGCTTTAAAAGTCAAAAGAGTAAAAGTAGGAATATATTAAAAACAGATTTCCCTTTTTGATTTTGCAGCGGAGCATCTACGTCGGCTCCCACTCTGGAGTCGTGCAGGTGCCGATGTCCGCCTGTCAGCGGTACACGTCCTGTTACGACTGCGTATTCGCCAGAGATCCGTTCTGTGGCTGGGACGGGAGGGCGTGTGTGGAACTATCTTCACATGCACAGAGGTGAGGGAACACACTAACAAATGCACATTTCCAGCCAGGAGGCAAACAGATACAGAGTTTTATAGAAAGTAGGAAGAAAAACAGACGACACACTCACATAGATTTGGCAGAAAACGATCCAGACTCTTGCTGAGGCAGATAGATTTGCAGTGTTTCATCAAAGATCCTGAGTCTTTATCTCCCAAAATATCCTCTGTTTACTCTGCGTTCATTTCCTCTCTAACTGCTGCTGCATGCGATTGGATAAGAGCATGAAAAAAACCCTTTCAAAACTTCTGTAAATTATCTTTGTTGTTGCATTTTTCAGGTAAAAAGAGACATTCATTAACCTTCATTTAGATATAAGACTCAAATGCTGCTAAGAAAAAAACAAGTGTCAGCCCCTCCACATTATGAATATAACAGTGGTGAACAGCTCAGAGAATAGTATGCTGTGTTGATTTTATATATCATTATTGTTAGCCTCTCTTGAAATGAGTAATATACCTACAAACGGAGATGAATAATTTTGACACGGTGTACATTTTTGCATTACATGATCTTTAATTCTTTCTTCTGGGCCTCGACAGCAATACCGGAGTCTAATTAATTATTCATACGGCTTATTTTCCCTTCCAACAGAATTTCTATGAAGGCAGGTCTTACACACACAATGTGGTCGACCTGGATTTCTCCCACAGCTCCGTTGAGCCCAGCAGGAGCTTCTTCTGTTTACAATTAACACAAAAAACATTCAGATCTGAAAACGCACTTCTCTTGCAGCATTTAGGTCGAGTGTAACTGAGCATCTAAAACAGAAAATACAACATTTTTTACAGATTATTTCACAGATCCATAATTTACAAATCATTTTGGTAAGACTTGACTTAACGTCCCCCTGTTTAGCATTTATAAGTAGCATACAAACATTTAATACATTGTTGATAACACCCTATAATGTAGTTTTAAGCAGCTATATTGACTATGTTATTTATTTAGAAACATCATTGATTACTAACATGCATATCTTCTTACTACTACATTATAATGTATTATAATAACAAAGGTTAAATTAAAAAAGTCAAATGTATTATATATTTATATCTACATTATGTACATATGAGATAAATGACAGACACATACGTGAACCAGCTCACATAAGCCCCTTCCAAACAAAACAGACACATATACATAAATATTCCTTTGGCTCACTCTTGCACTGGGTATTGTTTGCACCTCTCTTCATTCACACTGCATGAGTGAGTAGCAGACATCTTAATCTCCATTACAGCAGCAGACACATCAGCCTTTCCTGTGGATTTATTTGGGGGGGGGGGGGGGGGGGAGCAGCCCAGAGAAAGCTGCAAAAAGAACTGAATGTTAATGGAAGGGTGCACTTCTCTGGTTAATACTGCACTATGTCCACTACTTTTTATTGATGGAGGTTGTTGAAATACAAAGATGGCGACAGAGAGGGGAAGCTTTTGCAGGATTTTCTTGACTATTCTTCACTGAACTGGGTAACGAAAACACACACTATAT